GAGTTAGGAAGAAGAGGCAGGGGTAGAGTTAGGATTAGGGTTGGGGTGGGGGGCTTTCCACTCCTTTCCTCCATACAGCCTCCATACCCAAATACTTCTGATGCTTTGCATTAGAAGAGTCTGGACTAGGCAGAGGGGTCATGATTTGCACTCACAAGGCAGCCATGTTGCCAGTGCTTGGCTCACCCATAGGATTTTGAAGTCTAGCTTCTATGCCCTCTATAAGGGGACTCCAGAGTGAAGAGAAAGCGTCTTGTGAACAGGCCAGCCTTGTTGTCTGGGCAAGTCAAGAGAGTGGTTAGAGAAAAATCCAGGGCAGTGGGGTGCAGTTATAGTTTTGGAGCTCTATGAGAAGAGGCAGGGCCTACTGGGAGCTGTGTGTCCAGTACCCTGACAAAAAAGCCGGTTTTCAGGCATATGGTGCCAGCAGGGGGACCTTGGAGAAACCTAAGGAGGAGTGAGGACCACTGTCTTGACAGAAGTAGGAATGTGAGTATGAACAGAGGCCCTGAAGTCAGGTCGACTTGACTCTTAAATTCCAGCTCTGTCCATTCTGTTATTTGACACGTCACCTCTCTGGACTTCAGTTTCCTTCTCTGCCAAACAGAGGTAGTAATGTCTACCTTGGGTATTTGATATGAGAAGTTAGCAAGATAGTGCAGGTGAAGGGTGAGGCAGAGTCTCACAATGAACACACAGAAACTGTTGGTAGCACAGGAATCTACCTATGGGCCAGAGGTGCTGCTGGCAACCCCCTGGCCTCTCTCCGCTCTGGGGAGGGGGCACACAAAGCCACTTGACTGGGTGGTATGTGGGAGGCCAGGAACAGGGCATCTGGTATTGTGTGGTGCCCTCTGGTGGCCTGAGAGGGGCCTGCATGCCAGGTGGGGGCCCAAGGTGGGTGGGGAGAGGATGTGGGTCTTGAGGAATGTAGATTTGGATTTGAGGGGCCAGGATTTTGGAGATGCCACATGCACACCACTTCCTTTTCCTCCCAGAACTGTCACTGGCGAGCTGAATCCCCTGCCCAGCATGGAAAGCCTGCTGACGTTTGGAGGCCTGGGCCTCTTTATTAACTTGTCTTTTCCTAAAGCACAGGTGTCAGGATTATCGCTGCCAACCTAAGGCGAGCAGCATGAGGACTAGGTCTTGGTGGTTCCCAGGAGCACCAGCTTTCCCTTGGGCTGAAGCTTCTCTCCCCGCTCTGAGTCCAGAGCACAGGTGCCCTTCTGGTTTCTTAGCCTCATTAAACGGGATAATTTCATTTCTCCTTTATATAAATGTGTGGAGGTACAGGGATGTGCTCCTGGCTTTCCACTTTGTTTTCTGGATCTCGACTGATGAAGCAGGGCCAGGAATGCCTTAGGCCTCCTCTTTCTGTGTACAATCTCTGTGTTTACCACTGAGAGCAGCAGCTGCAGAGTGGAGCAGAGTAGATATGGAAGCTAAGGTCAGGCAGCCCGGCTCTTCTCTTTCCCACCTGCCCACCTTTGGTCTGCTCCTTTTATTGTCCTGGATTTGTGACCCCATCTGCAAACTTGGATGTACCAACATCTACCCTTATTTTGTCTCTCTTGGGTCTTAAGGAATGTTGACCTGTGGGGTCATAAGATCTATAGGTAAGCTCAAGCTCAGCAGGGCTGAACCCCCAAACCTCCAGGAATTCATCAGATCCTTGGGGCAGTCATGCATGGGAGGCAGAGTAGAAGCAGAATAGGTGTTGTCCTAATCCATTTTCCAGTCCCGTCCTAGGAGGGCCACAGGCATGCTCAGAGACACAGGAAACTGGCCCGGCTCCTGGTATGTTCCTCCTTTGGGAGACCAGGTCTTGATGGAGCACCATGGCCAGTTTGCTGATCTTCTCAGCAGCCTGTACACAGCAGTAGATGCTAACAGACTGGGTCTTGGACCTCGTGTAAGTCACTCTGAGCCTTTGCCTCCAGATTTGGCAAGTGAAGGGGCTCAGGTCCCTCCTACCTCTGACATCATAGGACCCAGAGATCCAGAAGAACCAAGAAGATAATGGCAATAGCCACTGCAGTCTATTAGCTAATAGCTGAGGGGATTCCAAAGAGGCATCTCACGTAGGGTTCAGTACCACAGTGGGAAAAGGAAAGTGAAGAAAACTGTTTATTCTGTATTCTATTGGTGCCTGCCGATATGAGTTCACGGTTACAGAAAGGCTATGTCAACAAAAACAATGATATCAGTATCAGCAGCAATAAACCAGAGACATACCTCAGCTTACCTATAGAAAAGAGGTGGTTTAAAGGTTAGCGGACAATGGCTTACCAGGCAGAACATGGCAATAGGCACCCGCAGAACAGGGAGCACAACCATGCCACTCAGGCTCCCTCCCTCCCACTCCCGTCATTTCCGAAGGCACAGGGGATAGGGGCTCAGATACAAGAAGCTCTGCCAGCTCTCTGGGTCAAGGCCACTCCCATGTCATATGTTCCTATTTGTTGCAGGTGGTAGCCTTGGCAGCTTCCCCCAAGGAAAACGAGCAGGCACAAACCCATTCAGTAAGTCGCTTTCTTTCCGGCCCTTCCCTTTCTCCTCTATGCTGAAGCTGTGGTTGCACAGCAGTGAAGCAGTTGGCCAGATCACTTAAGGGTCCACACTTGGTGTCTGGTGGGGGCTTAAGAGGAAGATGGCATCTGTGCTAAAAGGATTCTGTCACCCCCACCTGTAGTGCTCTTTCCTCCAGGCTGAGGTAGTGTGATCTGGTTAGAACACACCCTCACCATGTGCTTGTCTGGCAGAGTCAAGGTTTTTGCAATTCCAAACTGACTCCAGATACTGTGAGCTGACATTCAGGTCAGAACACCTAGGCAATCTGTGCCCCACCCAGTCCACATCCAGTGTGCAAAGGCTGTCCTCGTGCAGAAACTCACTTATGTAGCTGAATGTTTCATACACCCAGCTCTAACCTCTGCTTATGTCACTTTTTTTTTTGACTCTTCCTTTTCCCCTCCTAGTTGGACGCCTTGTCTAAGGAGCAGAAGATCAAAGGGCCAGTGGAGAGTCCAAGGAGACAGGACCAAGCATCAGATACCGAACCTTCAGCACTGCCCATGCCCAGCCACAGCCCATGTAACATAAGTGGTGCCCGCCATGTTTGCACTTTTAATAACTCTTAATGTGTGTGTTTTGTTTCTGGTTTCATTTGTAAACACCGGTTATCTAATACCACAGCGGGAACAGGAAAGGGAAGAAAAGCTGTTTATTCTCTCTTTTAATGTTAAGTTTTTGGATCTGCTACTGACAACTTTTAGGTTATTGGGGAGGGGTTGTTACTGGGATTGAGAGGAAAGAGATTTATATACTGTATATAAATATATATGTAAATTGTATAGTTCTTTTGTACAGGCATTGGCATTACTATTTGCCCTCTCCCTCCCATCTCCTTCCTCTGGACTCACAGTCCAGACTTCTCAGACTGTATCCTCACTTACCTGGGTTTCACTGAAGATGGACTCTGCATGAGAATAGATGCCGGCTCTGGGTTTGTGCTGTGGGCACCATCAGCTCTCTTCCAGTGGGCAGAGTGTGCTGTTCCATGCCATTAGCTGTCAAAGTCTAATTGCTTGGCCATTGGGAGGGTGGTGGCCAACATGGACTCCAAAATTCTCCAGTGGCCCACATACCCCTACTATCCAGATGCCTTGGCAGGCTAGGACAAATAACTGAACAAATTTTGCTTGAAGAGGTTGAATTAGGCTACTTTAAACATTTCCACCCATGTTTAGCACCTACCCCATGTAGGACACCAGAGAGGACACCCGGAGGTTGTGAGGAAAGGACACCCAGAAGGGCTCTCCTTCAGCAGGTGTTTGGCATCTGACAAAATGGTGAAGATAACAGGCCTTCACCAGCCCTTCTGCAAACCCGTAAGAGAGGCTCCACAAGCATGTCTCTCCCAACAGTAGCGTCAGACTGGGTTTTACTTCAATGCTCTCCCGCCATCTCTCACTCTCATCCTCACCGATTGGGTCAGCCCCCAATACTGGAGTTAGTCCTCTGGTTTCTTCAACTTTCCTCATGGACTTCCAGACCTGTGGACCAATTCTAGAAGTGAAATTCATATGGTGTCCCTTACTTCTGCTTCCCCGTGAGGAATAGGAGGGACAATACAGCTACAGGAGAATCTAGGTTTTTGCACAGGTTGTCACCCGGATTGCCGAGTAGCCATCCAGCCTTCAGGACAGACAAGCAGCTTCTTCTGTCTCAGTGCCATGATGATTCAGATGGCCTTCAGTCAGAGCAGCAAGTGACACTTAGCAGCTGTTTCCATAGTCAGCCATGGTGACAGTGAGGGAGGTCAGGAGCTCAGGGCTGGTGCTCTGGTTGGCTTGCCCTGGGCAATCTGGCCTCGCCTGCTTTTCCATCTCAGTATCCCGGAAGCACACCCACCTTGGTAAACCCTATTTATTTTGGGTCAGGAAGACATTGGCCTCATACAAGTTGCCCAGATGTGGGGAACACACTCTTCTTGGGACTTGATTGGATGAAGGTTTGGCTATAGAAGGTGCCTGCTGTTCTGCAGAAAGTCATACATGATGACCAGTGACCCTAGTAAGATGGAAAGGAAGCCCTTTCTTGGAGCCTTGACCAAAACCAAAACCAAAATAAAACAAAACACAGTGTGTTGGAGCTGGATCTGGATGTCCCTCACAGCAGACTTCAGGCCCGTTTCCTGGCCTAAAGGAAATGTACATAGAGAAGCAACCACCAGGTAGGAGCTCAAAACCTATCCAGCCATCTTCTCTCTCACAGATGGGTGCAGGCTGTGCTGTGTGGGTTTCCCTTGGGAGGGAGGGAGCAAGGAAAAGTGTTTGTAGCTTGTTTCATAAAAAATAAAAAATGGGTAAACCTTGGCAGCTGATGCTTGTTTCTCTGAGCGGCCCCTTCTGAAGGAAAAGCCCTGTTTCCTAGCAGGTTTCATGGTGTTCTTGGCCTAAGTGCTCAAGCTCTGATCCTGGCAAGGCTAGGTTGCTGTTTGTGGGACATCAGCAGGGAGCACAGTGGCCTCGGGGTGGTATGTGCTCCCTGTGAAGACGCCTCTGGGTCCTCTTGACCCTTGCCTGCCAGTGTGTATGTTTTAATTCTCCCTCTTACCTTCACCCTTGCAGATGCTCTAAAGTACCCCTATTCTGGGGTCTTTCCCTTCGGCTACAACTGGAATGTAGCTGAAGGAGCTTTGGGGGCAGGATGTGTGGCATACATGTGTGAGGTGGCTGGTCAACCCTCAGAGCAGAGGGCTTTGGGATAGCACTTGATGACATGTCTAGGGCCAGGACAGGGGCCACATGCCTGGGTCTTCCATGAGTGGGGTTATTTCCTTTCACTCTCTCCCCATGCAAAGGTGTCCTTGGAAATAAATAACCTTTGCAATCACCCACTTTAATAGCTTTTCTGGATTCTTTTGGATGCACTTTGGGCCTTTGTCCTCTACGGATACACAGAAGATAATTTCCCTTGAACCCCTAGACTAACCTTTCTTCCCGCTAGACTTCCCTGGAGGATTCAGAGTTGACCTGGCAGAGAGCCAGCCTGGGGTAGAAAGGGGCAGGTCTGAGCTTCAGGGGGGTGGAGGCTCACTCCCAGCCCCCGCTCCTCTGCATTCTCCCAGACAGTAGCATCAAGAGTCAAGGAAAAGGGACAAGATAGGTCCATTCTGTTTTTGTCTCACCTCAGGGTTCAGAGCCATGCTCTACGTCTGCAAGGAGGGAACACTGGAGACATATTCAACGGAAGGTCTAGAGGTTGCTGGGGCTGCCCATTTTCTCAGGACCACTCAGTGCTAACAGAGGATGGGTTTCCAGGTCCCTGGGGTTGCTTCACAAGGGGTGGAATCTGACAGCCCTAACACTTTGTAGAAAGATGGATGGATGGATGAATGAATGAATGAATGAATGAATGAATGAATGGACAAACAGAGAAATACAAAAATCAAAATTACAAACTATTCGGAGACAGCTAAGTTAGCTTTCTGGCCATTTATCCCCAAAGTTCTAACTGACCTGCAAGATCATGGGTATGCCACTAAGGAGGTATTTCCTATGAGCCTTGACCTTTTCTTGCTGCACACGTGGGGACAGGGGAAGTGAGATTTTCATGAACTACCACCAAGCCCTTTGACCCTTAAACATGCGTTTCTGTTATTCTTCTATGACTTGCATGGCATGCCAAGAAGGCCCTAACCTTTATTACATCCTGTCTACCACTGGCCTCCTGGGCTGGGTATGCCAGCCCTATATCTCTCGCCACTTCTCGTCAACACAGGGTAGATCAATCTAAATGATCCTGGTGCTTGCTGCTTCCACCACTAACAGCCACCTCAACATTGTAGTCTCGGCACTCTGCTTTGCCCTGTACCATTTCCCTTCTTAATAGAATTTCCACCAAAGCCCTTTTCCCCATATCCTCTTAAATGGACTATTGATTCTAGTTAATGGTTGATGAACCTGTAAGTTGTAAGCTAGGCATGTCCCCAAAGCCAAGGCCATCCTTAAATAATCTATACACTTGATAGAAGGGCGAGCTGCACACTGGGGCATAGCCTGTCTGTAATCTGGGTAGTTGTTAGACTGCTAACGTAACTCAGTCAGAAGAGGCAAGGATGAGCTGCAATAGCATATATTCCTCATGACTTCTGTGGCTAAAACACAAGGGGCAACCTAGACCTAGTGTCAGATGGGATCCTCAGACAGGGATCCAGGCCAAGGAGACTCCATTCTTCGTGATAGTAGAAGCAGAGAGAGACATGGTAAATTGCACTCTGCTTCCTATCCAGAAGTGACATATATCACTGTTTTAGTTTGCTTTCTATTGCATTGATGAAAACCATGCTTAAAACCAACCCGGGGAGGAAAGAGTTTATTTGGATAATGTGTTCCAATTACAGTTTATCATTGAGGGAATTGGGGGCAAGAACTCAAGCAGAAGAGACAGAAACCATTGAGGAACAGTACTACTGGCTCCATTCTCCAGGCTTGTTCAGCTACTTTTCTTATACATCCAGGACCATCTACTCAGAGGTGGCACTGCCCACAGTGGGCTGGGCCCTCCTAAATCAATCTTCAATCACGAAAATGCTCCCACGGACCTGCCAATCTGGTGGAGGCAGTTACTTCAATTGACATTCCTTCTGCCCAGATATGTTCTAGGTTTGTGTCAAGTTGACAATACTAACCCTTGTAGTCATATTGCTCATGCTCCATGACTAAAGAAAATCACAGGACCCCACCCAACTCCGCAGCAGTGAAGAAATAAAATCAGAAGTATTTAGTGAAAACTCTGGTATCACAATTGTAGATTATCCTAGTGTGATTGTTAAAGGTACAGTGTTTACACTGTCTAATAATAAAGCCACTTGCTTATCCCATATTGCACAATGCATTTTGCCCATGACTTTTGACAGGTTTAGCATGTACATGACAACTGCCATTTTCCCTTCTCAGCAAAGTGGGAAGGTAGACACACCATGTCCCTTCTGTGAGAATTCAGCACCTCCACCTAGAGGCTGTCTCTCAAGCCCTGTAGGAACCCTGCCACCCTCGTAGTGTGGGAAGGAGAAGAGAAGTTGGAGGGGGAAGAGCAGACCCAGGT